GCGAGCGACTGCGCTTCGCGTTGTCGACCTCTAGAGGCGCACACCAATTGAACGACATGGGGGGAGGGGGAGAAACAAAGGGAAGCGATAATGGAGAATGGGGGCTCATACTTCTTGTTTGTCTTGATGTGACCAACTTGGCCACAATTGGCACACTTGCGGGTTGTTCCAGTTGGGACTTTATCGCCATTGACACTAGGCGACCCGACATCTCCTGTGCTGGCCTTTTGGTGGAGCTCTTTTTGTTGCTCCCGAGCCTGTCGTCGAGCTTTGTTCTTCTCGAGTCGTTCGAGCTCCTTCTTGATTCTGTACTACTGTTAGCATCAATTACATATAACGTCAAGACTCGAGAAGACATACCTAATGCCTGCAAGACGGTCATGGTCGGCATTGCCTGTAGGACGGGAGCTGTAGATGCTGTTGAAAGATACACGTAAGCCGGTGCTCTAAACTCCAGTCCAGCAATGTCATTTCTTGAGCCAGGGGTGCCGACTCCGTAAGTTCGTCGACGTTTTCTTGCCACGACTCCCCTGCTCTGTGATTGCTGAACTGCCTGGCGTGAGTTGTTGGGTGGGTGCACGTACTCTCTCATCTCAAGATCCGCCTCTGTTCGCCGTTTCATATACTGCGAAATCACAACCGGATCGTGAACGACTTCGACTCGGTCTTGCGTACTGCCATCGGGCATTCGGATCTCTCGGGTTATGCGAATAGCGCGTCGTTGCTGTCGACTTGCCGAAGTCAAACCACTAATTTGGCTAGTACCGTCGTCGAACTGGGCTGGAGTCATGGCTGACTGAACGTTGAATCTGTCATCTTCGTCTTCTGTTACTGCAACATCTTTGTCGTCATGCTCTTGACCATCTGAGAGTGTAGACTTTTGCTTCTCCCAAATTTCTCGAATACCTTCCTCGTACATTGCTTGCTGCTTTTTGACATTATAGGCGTGGCCACCATTAGCTCGCTTTTCACGCTCCATAGCATCTGCAGATGTAGCAAGCGGTCCCTGAACTGCCTCGATATATCCGCCCTTCATGGAGGTTCGAATGAAGGAGAAGCCAAGACCATGGCCCGTTGGGTCTCCTTCACCATGAAGTTGAAGCATGGCCTTTTGGGCGCATGCGTCGATGAAAGCCTTGGTTGTCTTCCATGGGGCCATCTTGTCCGCGAGAGTTTCTTCTTGCTTCTCTTGCTGCTTTTTGGCGCCCTTGGTAATCTTGCTGCCTTCATCCTCGACATCATCGTCGTCCCCATCTGCATCATTGTTCTGAACATCTTCCTCAAGGGAAGCATTTCGAGGGTCGTATCCGGCATCCTCAAGCTCCTTGATACCAAGTTGCATAGCATCGAGTAGGCAAACCTCTTCCGGCTTAATCATGGAACGAATCGTACTCTCATCAGGCAGTATTTCGCCAGGTTTCAGTCGCCACATACCCTTCTCGCCGCTCTCCCTGTCGTACTGTAGGAATTCTTTGAGCTTCTGACGATTTTGAGTGTCGGTGGAGTCGGCAATATGCTTGGTGATGTCGGACAGTTGACAGTTGTCGGTATCACTATGTCTTATCATGCGAAATGCGAGCATCTTCATTCTGTTCTTTGAGGCGTTCGTGACCTTGCGACTGTGTGGTCCTGGAACCTCGACTGAAGGGAATTGCTGACCGACGACATAAAGATGATCGATCTTGTGTAGAAACCACCTAGAACCATGTTCGCCAGTAGTGCTGCGCACAACCAAGAAGTCACTACCTCTTGGGTTATGCTTGAAGACGGGAGCTCGGTACATCTCGTTGTGCAACGTGGGCACAGTCTCACCGGGGTCAACAGTACCGAAAAGGGAGAAGGGGGATCGATCTTCAGGGAGAAGCATGCGATACTCTCCAAGTTCTTGTTTCGGCAGTTGCTCATCTTCGTTGGTGTCTTTCCGGCGATAGTAGTTGATCAAGCGGTTGCCCATACCGAAGCTACTGAGCACTCGTGGACGTTGCTCACAGTACTCGTAAAGAACAGCCGTTGAGTTGTCGTTAATACTCAAATCCTTGGACTTGAGGAAGACTTCATGCGCTTTGCCCTTCATTTGCTTTCGCTTCTGGTGTGCCGGCTTATCAAACTTGATGATATGACCAGCAAATTTCTTGTACCTGAAACGAGGACGATGATACTCATCTGTCGTACCACCGAGCTTAACTTTGTAGTACGGCCATGAGAGCTTGATAGCGGGCATGCTGTGCTCGACAGAAATGTTGCCGAGTGTAGCGCGGACCTTGCTTTGATGGTTTTCCTTCAAAGCCTCGTACGCCTCGTCGTTCGAGATGTTGAAACGGTTGGAGACATCGCGGCCGAGGTTGCCGTTTGCCATGCGCTTCAGCTTGTTATCTGTGCGGGGTCGCTTTGCATTCCGCTGAGTTTCCTGAGTTTCGATGAGGAGGTAAGGATCGCTCATATCTAGTTGCACCCTCTTGGCACCTCTACGGGTGGCGTCTTCGAAGTTGTCGAAGGAGGGTGCAGCGTAGCGGGGGATTTCTGGTAGGCCAAGTTTAACTGTCTTCCGTTTCTTCGGTCGTGGTGGTCCATCATCGCCCAGGTCCATCAGAAACTCAGCGTCCCATTCATCGTCCTGCTCCTCAAACACGCGCTTCCGTGCTTGTTGTTCCTGCTGCTCGGCGGCTTGTCGGGCCTTGAAATCAGCTTCGATAGCCTCGATGCTGGCGCCCCAATCTTCGCAAGCAAGCTCAATATCACGTAGGGTGAATCCAGCAACCGTTTCGGAATCGGACTCTTGATCGAGATCGAACTGGACATTATCTTGGGCTTGATCTTCGTGATCCATACCACAGTACACTAAACCTCTCTCCTCGCCCTGCCTAGGTTTGCGGGTGACGGTTGCAGTGCCTGGGATACGGAACAGCTTCTCTTGATCGGGAGCGAGTTCGAGTGTAAGCTTGCTGGTAACGAGCTGCTTGGGCTTTTTGACGGGTTTCTTTTCCTTCCATGTGGCCTTCTTGGCTGGTAGGAGTTCGCTCCATGTCAAGATGTGCCCCTTCTTGAAAGCAGGCCATGTAGCTTTTAGGAGGTCCTCGACGGTTTCAGCGGGTGCGGGGATGTCATGATCCTGATTATCGAGATGTGGTTCGGGGTCAAAGTTGATGCCTGGAAAGCTTAGACTCGCATCGAGAGGTTGGGTGTCGTCGGTAGTATCGGCATCGCGAATGTGAGGTGCTGGGGAAGAGGGACCTAGAATTGGATCTGGAGAAGAAGGCCCCTCTCCAAAGAGATCATCTGGATCATGACTGGTTCCGCCATCGTCCGTGAGGCCAGGCATCTCCATAGAGACACCAGCGCTGGGCTCCTCCTCGTCTGGTAAATCATCGTCACTGATATCTTCGTAATCCTCTGCATCGTCCGCCTTGCCGGACTGATCGAATGCGCCATTGTCGAGAACGATACCGCCTCCGTTGTTTTGCGAATCTCCCAGTAGTTTCGCGATTTCTCGATCGTCGGCGGCATCCTGGGCCTTCCAGGCGTTCTCGTCAAAGGACGAGAAATCGTTCTCCTCAGCCATGATCGCGGTGTCGCAATCGTGAAATCAGATCACTAAGAGGCCGCGGAAGTGTCGTTATTCTTATATCATAATTTTATCGCGTCGCTGGTGATCGGCCGTCGCTCGGCGAGTCGTGGCTGTCGTGTGAGGATTGAAGGGAAGAAATTCGTGTTTGCTCTGAGCTGAGTTGTTCACGGTTGCGTTGAAAGATGCCCGGGAGCCTGAGAATGAGCGCGGAGTCAGCCAATCAACGTCAAGATAGGATGAAGTGCTGAAAGGCCAGTGCTTGGATTTCGAGGTGGGGCGGCGTTGAGTGGCAGCAGGTCCCCACTTCAACATTATTGTCGTGACAAGGAACAATTAACGTGAGAATGTCAATAGAAACTCACCTTCATTGTAAGGTTACAATACAAGCCTCACAGCCGGAACTTCCCTGGCCATAGAATTTCTTGATAGGTACCTCGCTTTTGAGTTGTTGAGGATAAAGTTAAGCTGAAACCTGGGGCTCTGGTCAGGATTATTCTGGTCAATGAGTATTGGACTTACTGCGTACAAAAAAACCTTTAAAGAGCAAAAGATATTTGTAAGAAGATGAAATAGAATCTAGCAAATAGATAGACCAGCGGTTGATTTTGCGTCGATGCGATGTTGAAAGAATAAAGTTGCGTGGAAGCAAAGTCGCGAATTTATAGAACGAATGGAGGAGAATGAATCACTCACTACCTAGGTACCTAAGGTTGGCAGCTCATAGCTGGAGTCTTCCATACCACGCAATTAAATGTATGAAGCGAGAAAAAGAAATTCTACCTACTGGTAGTCATGAAATAAATCGGGTGTCATAGAGTCTGAACAGAGAGTAGATTTAGAGCGTAGCCAAGGTAGCTCATGAGTGCTCAATGCTGGGAGGGTCAAGCTCAACTCATCAATAGAATAGGCATAAAATTATAATCCAGAGCCTCTAACTTACTCTTAAATGTAATTAATAACAAGATGTGTAAAGTCCTATATTCCAGCTGCGGGTTAAGGGTAGACGTAAAGTTGGACTGTCATTCTTGACAGTCGATATCGCAGAACATCGTCAATCGCAAGGGCGTGTAGACATTAACAGACCATCTAGCGCCTGACTGCTCTGTTTTAAAGAAAAGAGAAGCCATGCATGAGATGGAAGAATATTAGAGCCTTCTAATAAAGCATATCGTGGAGGATTTGCATGTGGTCCAACTCCCCATGCATAGGGCGCCTCGTCTTGGGCTAGCAGGTATAAGCAGCGCTTGACATTAAAACACTGTCATTGCTTTATACTTTTATTTTGGAAGTTAAGTAAGATAACCTCCATTAGAAATGCGAGATCGCTTACTGTATTGTGTACTCAAGGATGGCCGCATTAAGCTCACGGGAAATGATTAGCAACTGGCCGGGCTAATAGCGAAGCTACATCCTGAAGATACTACAGATTTCCTACCTAAGTCTCGGAAGTCTTTGTGACGAAAGAAAATAAGCCAAAGATGAGGTTCCTAATCCCACATGTCATAGATGAAACCGGCCATTGCTCCAGGTTTACCCACCTCTTGCGATCCCGGACAGCCGAAACACCACTTTGACACTTCCCGATGTGAAGTGTTGCATCCATTGCCGATGCCACAATCTATTGGAGGGAGCCTTACAGAGCAAGCAAGATTTTGACATTCAATGATCATGGCCTAATCTAAAGACCTACCAAGCATGTACTAAAATTGCTTGAGTCTATCCTGCACTTAGGACGACCTGTTTCTTCTTGGGGATATAAGTTATCTTACCTCCACCGTTGGATTAAAGGTTATCAAAATATGGTTTGCATAGGGTCTGTGAGTGTTTAATTACTGTTGAGCATGATAGAGAGCGTCGTAGAGTCTGGCGGTCGTCATAGAGAATTCATCGACGAGGTACGAAGGAGGCAGGCGGGCTACTACTCGGTCAATGCTGGGGAGAAACACCTGTAGATTCTTGAATGATACTAGATACTCTAGTGCTAAGACGCTCTAGATAGCAAAACAAGAATAAGAACTCTGGTAAAGGCGTTGTGATTGAGCAAGCTGCTACTGCGCTCGCTATCTCAACAACTCCCTTCACTCCGGTTAAGCGTACATGAACTCACAGAACCTGCATATAAACGCCATGAGCTGTCATTGTAATTTCCAAATTACAAACTCCAAATACCCCAACTTCGCTTGCTTCAAATGATCCCCAAACCACGTCTCAGTTCGGTCAGACGCAGCGCTCATGCGAAAACAAGCTTCCATTGCGAAATCTACCCTCCATAATACACGATCATCACAAAGATCAACCCTCTGTAATACCAGAAATTGCAACATGATTCGATGGGTAATCCCAAATGACGCAAAAACTCGGCGGATTCCTGATTGGGGAGTATCATGACAGGGCAGCATTGCATAGAACAAATCCTACGCAACATAAGCACAATATTTTTTGGCCCCCAATTGTTTATCTCAACGATGACCGAGTTTTAGAGACACCGGTCTGTAAATCGTGGCACCATAGGCGTGTCGAGAGCAGCTGAGTTGGATAGTGATGCAAGCCTGCGCAGGGATGATGTGAGGAGATGAAGTCCGCCTTGACTGTTTCCCGTTATTAATGCTATGGACGTCCCACTGAGGCATGATGAGGTAGTCATGAATGATGCGCCCTTGATGGAGGCGGGACTGAGAAGAGGATATAGTGTATTTCTAACAAGTTCCGTTCGTCGCGTAATGTATGACGAATACTGAATGCTTTAATAACAATAATAAGTACAAGGATGTTGAAGTCAATAATGCCACTCTCTAACAGCAGAGGAATCCTCCCAGTTGGGTATTAACGCCATCATCACACCGAGAAACCCATGAACTCATTAAACTTGCGCTTGCGGCTGGCTAGCCTGTTTAGCGCGGATTGCCAACCAACGCCTGACAGATTTAATCACCATAATGACAATGATGGTCAAGATGACCATCGCCTAGATATTCAAGACCAATGACACGATGAAGGCCCCTAAACTCGCGGTAGATACGCTCTCAAAGCCCCATCCTCGTTTTGATAGTGCTCCATTGTCTGATGCATCCTCGTCAGGGAGGGCCGTGTCGTTGGGCAGAGTTCCGTTGATGAGGATTGTCATTGTGCCGTTGACCTCTGCAACATTGACGATGGACTTGTTAAGTGCGTCGTAGCTTCCGTTTCCGATGAGTTCGTCGAAGTATTGGGTGCTGTTGTTGTCATCACATGCGCAATACTCATATCGCGAGCATCCACAGAGTACATCGCGCTCTTCGTCCTCATCGCTGGTGTCGTTATGATAATGGTAGGGATGCGAGTAAGGATACATGTATGCACCGTAGAGCCAAAGGCCAGGCCAGAACGCCAGAGCAGCACCGCCTAGAGCGAAGGGCGCAATCCTTCCGGGACTTGAGACGCCGGACTTGTAAGGTTTTGATGAGCCACCGGGGTAGTATCGACCGCCTGCGAAGCTGGGCTGAGGACCGACGCCGCGAGAACCGCCGCCGCCGGAGCTGCGAGAGCCACCGCTACCTGATGAACCTGGACGATATGATGAGCCTTTTGAACCACTACCGCTACTGCTGCTTCCACGACTGCTGCCGCTTCCACTGCTTCCACGGGAACTCCCACCTCTGCTGCCACTGCCAGATGATCCTTTTGAACCTCCGCCGCTGGAACCTCCGCGTCCTCCACCACCACCGCCGCCACGGCGCTTGTAAAGCTCGTGCTCATAAACGGGGGGTACCCCAGACTCGGGGCGCTCTATGTCAATGCGCTTTATGCGACGGGGTGCATCGACGGCCGACGCGACCGTTGATGTGATGAGCGTGAATAGCACGACTGCGAAGTCTGGTTTCATTGTGGGCCAAGCTGTCTTGGTATGACGAAAAGATGCAGGTGGGTATAGGCGAGATGAAACAAAGAAGTGTCGATTGTGGATTGGAAACCAGAGTCAAATGAAAGACCAAATGATTTCGGACTAGAAGATGTCAAACTGACGATGAAACCAAAAAAGTCGTGAGTTCGTGTTTGGGGGTCCAATGTAAGTTGATGGAAGAATGGAAGAGTATGAAGTGGGCAGTTCCAAGGTTTAATACCCGAAATCCGAATTCAGGAAGGGTAGGTAAGACTGAATTGATGACGGGGGTAATTGCAAGGATCCACAAGGCGTGGTTTCTCTTCTAGGTTCGGAGGCTGTGACGGGGGCAACAACGGACAGAAGATCACAGGTTGACCTTCTATGATGAGGTGAAGGAGGCGAATGAGGTAAACAGAAATGATGATGTCGCTCTTTCCAGAAGGATTGGGGGCGACGATCGACCGCTAAAGAGCAAGAACAAGCGTGTCTTGTGTGTCTTGGCTGAGCTGTGGATGAGGTCACTGAGCGCGACCGGCTTTGGTAGCTCCTTCGAGATGATGACTGACAGATTAAGAAGAAGGAAATTGCCAAGGCAGGACGACTTGTGTTCTTTATATTCTGGTCCCAGGAGGTGATTCACCGTGGGGAGCGGAAAGAGCACTGGTCTTTGGCGTTTTCTTAGCTCTGGCGAGCTGAAAAGATGCCAATCTCTTGAAGCAAATTGAGTTAGCTCCAGCCAAAAAAGTGCTTTGACTTTTGATGTTTTGGCGGAGGCAAACAGCAGCCCTACCAAAGTGGCTTAGCCAGAGGAACCATTCACAGCGGTGTAATTACGTTGGAGCGTGTTTGTGGTGGTTTGCTGCATTACCGAGGCGCGCATCAAGAGACAAAGAAATGGAATGCATGTAGGTCCGAATGCCTTGGCCCAGCCTTAATCCAAACACAAGCTTCATTTAGCGAAACAGCGAATCATTCTAATGTTGATGCTGGTTGGGTTCCGTGGTAATGTCACTACCAATTGACCACTGTTTCAAGGATGATTGAGCCGATGATCGTGGGTCTGTGACATAAAGGACCCTGGAGTTGGCATGGGCGTATAAGCTTGTCGGGGTTAAGCTTGCAGCGCCGCAACATGCAGGCAATTGCATTTCTAATTGGTGTAGATCCTTGCTTGGTGTGGATCAAGGCTGTCACTGAGGCAGATTTACTTGAGCCATCTGAACGAGACATCTCGCTACGACAGTCCAATACGCCAAAAGTCCGCTTGTGACTGTCAAAGCTTTCGTTTAAATAAAAGCCTAGAAGGTGTTTTCATTCCTGAACAGGTCTTTTATTAGAGATGTGGCTGAAGCTGAGTGGTGAATTCTGATTTATTCGTGTAGAGACTGACAGACACGGAGACGGAATCCCGCAGAGGAATAAACTTCAGATGCGGCGCTGCATATTGATCACCACGTGGTCCAACACGATTTGGAAATCCCCGATCTGTATGCCTTAAATTCCCAATCTTGGCTGCCTTAACAAACGTTCCATATTTCCAACTAGACCTTCCTCTCTAGTGTGTTATCTGATGCATCTCCGACATAGCCACCGCGCCCCCGCATGATGCTAGAGTGACAGTCTGTCACATGAGGCTGTGCAGTGTGCAATTGTTATTGCTTGCAGCATTCTAGAAGCACAAGAAAATTGGTGGCCTGAATTTTAGCATTCAGCCAAGATCAGGCACCCGTGCTTGCGCCCAGGACTTGGCGCACTAGAGTTTTCAGTGCATCTCCGATGGCGGGGACTGGGCGGATATAAACATCACGAGTTGTCGCTCAGTGGCGATGAATGGTTGGACAATCGCCTGGTTTCTGGGAGACGAATTGATTAACCCTCGGCGTTACCGAGAAGAATTGAGATAAGTGTAAACTTTTGGGAGGCAGCCGTCAAGCCAGCCTTTCAATTCTTCGCTGTGTCAGGGCTTGTCTGTCCATACTTCTGAACGAATTCATGAAAGACAGCCATGTTATAAGTTCCAATGTCCTGGAGATAGGCCGAATCCTTTGCTTCACCAGATTGGATGATCTCAATGGTCCGCCTGGATAAAGCCATGACTTCGGCACTATGTTTCTTTATCCCGAGCCATTTCTTCTCATCCTTTGGAATACGTTGATAAGCATCCCTCCAAAGAGAGTCCCATCTATCCATTGCACGTAGCAACATTTTGGAGTGGTCGCGTGATACTGTTGACGTACGATAATGAAATATGTGACGCCCAAGACCTGGTAACCATCAGTATTTGTCATTTATTGTCTGTCCTGGGACGTGGCGTACCTGAAGAGAGATAAAAGAGTTCTGAATGGTCTAATTTCTCGAAAGAGTTTCTAATAGCAGGCATCCAGTCTTCAGCAAGCAATCCTGCTATCGCTTCACTGCAGCTTGAAGGATAAGACCTTGCTAATCTATGCTTTGACCTTTCTTGGAAAGCCATGCTTGAATCTGCCTCCCATATACCAGTCGGACATGGCAGATCTCCAGTCATCTCCTTTGAGGTGATGATGGGTGGGTGGTTACAGAAGAGACCCAGTAGTCCGTCGTTCATAAAAGTCCATGTAACGACCCTTATACACGTCTCTCGGTGAACAAAATCTTCCCAGCTTTTGCCGGGCTCGTGTTTCAGACTCATCATGTTTGCTTTTCTCAATACCCCGACCAGTGTTGGAATTCTTTTGCTCGCTATCCTTCGGCGAGATTCGATGTGGTTGGCACTGCCTTCGAGCGTGTTCATCAGCACTGCAGCTTGGCATATTTCAAGCATGTGTCGTGAAATCACTGGGCTGACACCTCGGCTTGACAGTTCTTTAAGCTCCTTGTATATATATTTTTCTGCCAATTCTAGCAGTGCGGTATTGATGTATGGGGGAGAAGATTGGTTAAGGCATTGAAGATAAACAGTTCCGGTCAGCACCACAGCTAGTAGCAGGTGGAGAGAAACCTTTTCAGGATCAAATGTTGGCCAATGCATCGTGTCCTGATGATAGTGCCTCCGACGGAAGATAAATACCAGGACACTCTGAAAATGAGAGGTCATGAAGAACCCTCGTTGACAACTTTGGTCAAGTCCGTCCCTGAGATGAGGCTTGCTGGTAGTTAATTCCTGGAGGATGTTTGACAGAGCGACTATTCGCATCGAGAGAGCATCGGCTGACTCGGTAGAATGACCAAAGATACCAGAGAATTGTAGTGGATTGCTTTCGGGATCATCATAGTCCTGGGGTTCATCTAGAAGCATGTCTGGTAGATCAAGGAGAAGAAAGCTTGGATCGACCGTCCCTGCACTCCAACCGACAGTCTCACGTTGCTTCCAAGAAGGCATCTCTGATGTTCTTTCAGGTTCCCGAGCGACAATAGCATCCATAGATGGCTGGGCCGGATTGCTAGCTTGTAAAAGAAAAGAAAAGCTGGGACTGTCATCCTTGGAGACTTCCCTCGGTTTGGAGGAAGCTCGATGCGCAGGATCATGACATAGTGAGCTGTATATGCAATCAATGTCACGAGCTGAACACCGCTGACAGGGATGTTCCGAGTTACAAGATGTCTTCAGTCGTGAGCAGTTATCGCAAGCTCGAAGCTTTCTGCCTGGTTTGGCTTGTGGTGGAAGAGGTCGGCCTTGTCGGGCGTTGCAAGAGCGTGCATGCCGACGAGCGACATCAGCTCTGCGGAAAGACTTCTGACAGAATGGACATTCATTTTGACGAGTGGATAGAGGTTTGCTACAGACGGGACATGCCGGGGCCTGGTATGGAGTCGCCATCTTCAAGGTACGTGGATGAAAGAGGTTGAAGTTGGGTCATGTGGTAATTTTCCGAGGGTGAGAAGCAATAAGTGGAGCTGTGTGGTTAATTCCCGTCCCGGCCTGGACCTGTGGAAAGGTCTTATATAGCCAGCTGCACTACTGATTTTGTCTTTCTTGTTTCCTTAAGGAAAAAATCGATTTATTTAATTGTGCGAGACATCTCATTATGGCCCGATTACAATTGGCAAGATGTAAGTAATAAAGTCTAAAGAGCTTATGGACCGCGACTTACACCGTCATCCAGCTATAGCTCGACCTCTCTCCATCACATCTACTCCAACGATCCCACTGCAAGCCCGCAGAATAACAGAAAACCGATTCGAGCATCAGACGCGAAATGGTTCCTCCAAAGCGGCCAAGGATATAGCACTCAATGCGCACCCATCTTCGCTCGCCGATGTAAAGCCAAACAACCTAGTCGACTATGCCCTGTACGTACTCAACTCCGTGCCACGATAAAAGAAAGACACTAATAAGGAGTGTGATAAAGCACGACGCTGGACAAGATAGCAAATTGGAGCCGAATTGGCTCCCTCTGGCCGCTGAGCTTTGGCCTCGCCTGTTGCAGTCTCGAAATGATGCACGTTTCGATGCCACGCTACGACCAAGACCGTCTGGGCATCATCTTCCGCGCGTCTCCGAGACAGGCAGATGTCATGATAGTCGCAGGGACTGTCACAAACAAAATGGCCCCTGCACTGCGACAAGTCTACGATCAGATGCCTGAGCCACGTTGGGTTATCAGCATGGGATCTTGTGCTAACGGAGGAGGGTACTATTACTACAGCTATAGCATTGTTAGGGGAGTGGATCGTATTGTTCCGGTCGATATCTATGTTCCTGGCTGCCCGCCTACTGCTGAGGCTTTGATGTATGGGGTGTTTCAGCTGCAGAGGAAGATAAGAAGTCAAAGAGCTTCGAGGATGTGGTATCGAAAGAAGTAGATTATCCTGTGGGGGGACTGTAAGACTATAGAGTACATGGATATCATATTGTTACACAGAATAATGACAGAAAATTTGCCCTGATTAAAACATGTTCGGAAAGAGAAATCGATCCAAATCAGCATAGTCGAAACTGGAAAGATCTCCAACCAAGTTATTCAGCCATCTCATATCATCCATCTCTGCAACGGGAGTCTCATCTCGCGTCTCTGGAAGGGAAACTATAGGAAAGGTTTTCAGCACATCACTCAAGGTCGATGCACACTTCTCCTTACGCCGCTGTTGCATCAGTATAAGCAAAGAAGCTGTGTTGAGAGCCTCTTTCGTAGCATTCGTGTTATACACAGTAGCAACGTTACTAAGACATTGCATGGCATCCTTGAGCTGAGCGATTGATTCACCTGTATCAATGGCTAGTAGAACACAGATAATCTGAAACGGCACATTGGCCATATGATGCCATGGTGAGCGTGCATCTAGAATAGCTTGAGCTGCTTCGATGCCTGTTTTTGTGATAGAAAGGATCTGGTCGAGAATCTTTCCTGAGAACGTCGTGTTCATCGACTGGAGTCGACGACAGAGACATAAAGAGAGGTTGGTCTGCGCCATAATCGATGGTGGAACAGAATGAGTTCGGCTTAAGACAGTTGACAGCGAGGCCTCAAGCTCGGAAACATCTTGTGTCTTGTTAGGGTCAAGCTCTGTTGAGTATGGGAGCAATTCCATGAGTTCATGGGTAAAGTCTCCTTCTCTCGAACAAGGCATCTCCAGTGTTGAATTACACAAGATGGTTCTAGACCGACCCATGTCAAATGAGATCCAAATATTGAGGTGTTCAGCAACAGCGAAGAGTCGTCTCCGAAGCTCGGCATCGACCTTTTCTTCTGTTACTGGAAGGACTGATTCTTGGGATGGTTCACAATGCAGGCCAGCTGCTTCCAGCATGTGCATAAGGATTGAACTCGCCATCCATGCTGTATGTGGCGTTCCGGCTATTCTCAGGTATACCACCCGAAGAAGCCAACCGGTGACACTAGCAGCCGACGGGTCATCAGACATCTTCTGCTCAAGGATAAATCGTGCTGTTTCTATCAAGTCAAGTTCCACCGGTGGAGGCTCAACTTGTGAGAACAAGCACCCGATAGCCGCTATGCCGCAGAGGATAGAATCTTGAGACTGATCGTATATATACCCGGACCACCTGCCTTGGATGGTCTGCGAGATATCGTTCCTATCAACGAACCCATAAATTGGGTCCATCTTTTGAAAGTAAACGGCACTCAGACTCTCCATATCTTCTTTGGATAGTAGATCTGTAATCGGTCGCGAAACAGGAACATGGGAAGACTTCCGCGCTCCAAGAAAGGCATTCCAAGAAAAGGTGTGCATCCTGGGCGCATTCTTAGGATCCAACCTCAGTGCCAACCTTCTAAGAAATGCTGCCCCAGAATTCGCTTCCAGCGACTGTAAATGCCTTGGCGAAGTAGCATGATCACTCCTCGAAGGTCTAGAGTCCTTCTCAGTGTGAACAGGAGGTGAAGGAAGAAGAGAAGCGTCATGGGCCCTCCTCTTCTTGTTGGAAGATGTCTTGTAGGTGCACTCGTACTCAAAGCGGACACAGGCTCCGCACGGCTGGGCGCCGTCGCATTTCCGTTTTAAATCCCGGCATGTTTCACAGGCGAGTCTTGAACGCTTACGGCCTTGAGAAGTGGACATGTTTGTTATTGGAATGGGGATGAAGGGATTGTGATGTGTAAGGGGTTGAATGCATGTGAAGTGAAGCTGCGAGGGTCGGTTCTTACGGGCCGAGCGGGTATCTCGGCTATCGCGGGAATAGCGGCAATAACGGTGTAAGTGATTGAAGCTTGACGCAGTTTGAGGGTGCTAACTAAACTTATCCTAACGGCAAGAAACCTACCTCGGTATTTTTATTCTTGGGACTCAGGTTAGAGAACTCACCTTGGTTGTCAGCCTTGACTTGCTGCTATCTGATCGTCTCCCCATGTTACTCAACCAAGACAGAGATTCGGTCTCTGCAGCCGAGACATTGGCCGATATTGAAAACCAAGCCCAACAAAATACAGTCGAAAAGTCATCGACACAGAATGAACCACCAGACGGAGGCTTCAATGCTTGGATGCAGGCTCTTCTTGCCCACATCGTGTTCTTCAACACCTGGGGCGTGGCAAACGGCTTCGGAATCTTCCAACAATACTACACCCAAACCCTCGGGGAGAGTCAATCCACAATATCCTGGATAGGAAGCGTGCAAGTGTTTTTTCTATTTTCAGTCGGAGTCATAGCCGGCAGACTGACGGATGCCGGCCACTTTCGAATTATCTTCCCGATCGGTGTCTTCTTGCAGGTCTTTGGACTCTTCATGACTTCGTTATGCACGACTTTCTGGCAGATATTCCTCGCTCAAGCTGTTTGCCTAGGAATTGGCAATGGATTTACCTTCTGTCCGGCTCTAGCCGTTTTGTCGCAGTACTTCAAGAAGTATAGGGCTTTTGCTGTCGGACTGGCAGCCGCTGGTGCAGCAGTTGGTGGTTTAGTATACCCGGTTTTGGTCAACTGGCTCATCTTCCACGACAACGTCGGCTTCCCCTGGACTATCAGAAGCATGGGGTTTATCATGCTTGCTACATATATCCCCTGCCTTGTATGGCTCAAGCCTCGACTACCACCTCATCCCAGCGGCCCATGGATCGATACAACAGCTTTTAAGGAACTGCCCTTTATCTTCTTTACCATGAGCATGTTTCTCAACTTTTGGGGCCTCTATTTTGCCTTCTTCTATCTCGGAACCTTTGCTCGCGATCGAGCGGGAATTTCTGAACCCATCTATCTTCTCATGATACTAAACGGCGTTGGGATATTCGGCCGTATCCTGCCCAATATCATTGCGGATAAGTGGACAGGACCACTCAACATACTCATTCCTCTAAGCATATCCTCTAGTTTGTTGGTCTACTGTTGGGCGGCTATAGAAACAGCTGCTGGGCTTTATGTCTTCGCTGTGATCTACGGTTTCATCGCTGCAGCATTACAAGCTCTGTTTCCGGCTGTTGCGACACAAATGGCACCTGATCCAAGAAAGACAGGGACAAGAGTTGGAATGATATTAGGCATTGTCAGTATCGCAAGTCTGACTGGCCCTTTTATCTGCGGCGAGCTTATCAAAGCTGGCAACGGTAGTTACCTTGGGTCTCAGATGTTTGCTGGTTCTTCAATATTCCTGGGTGCGCTCATGGCAGTGGCGTGTCGAATCGCCAAGACTGGTCTTGTGCTCAGGGTCAAATCATAGATAGAAAGGTTGCACATATATATGGTACATAGGCTATAAGAGATGTATTGAGATTTCTTGCATATTCAAGCAGCAGTAGCTTCCTTTACCGCCTCGTCATTCTGGCCCTTTTTCTTCTTCTTCTTCGAAAACCTCGGAAATCGGACTCGTACACTAAACCGAGAGCCAAATCGAGCAACACTCCTCCTTATTCTAGCCCCCTCTTCTGCAACGGTGGTGGTGCTAACAGGAGGTTGGTTCTGGGGAGTAATCTCTGGCACGGGCGCAGGAACCCCTGCAGACCATGTTTCTGACCACTCTTGGTCAGAAATTTCAAGCATCTCTCTAAACGCTGTCCCCTCTAGCTCTGTTTTGATGCGCTTCTGCAGAGGCGATACCGTGCTGCATAGGCGAACAACTCGCTCCCAAAACTTAGCCTCCTCCTCATTTTGAAAGATGTAGTCGTCGCCTTCGTTGGTCCACGAGATGGTAAAGATCATCTTGATAGACTTTTTTTGGTCGTAGATGAAGGTGCAACTATCTGTGTCCTGAATACTCTTATTCAAAGACATGGAGTATAGTTGGGCGTAATTGATATGTGAGAGTTGGAGAGCTAGTGTTGATGGTAAGGTCGTCTCATGACTTATGATACACCTGGCGTATGCGTATCTCATGGTTTGAACTTGATGCGGCGACTTCGAACTTGTTTAGTTAGACAATTCCGCTATGTGTTGGTGAGATGAAGCGCATATAAATGAAAACATGCAAGGAGAGAACAGGAAACAGACAAGAGGACCATTTAAAATGATACTGCACCTCTTACTAAGTATATACTTGCCGTTCAGCCGTCTGCGGCCTCTCTAGCTGCCAGCATCCGGGGATAGCATCCCCCTCATACGCCAAAGGTGGTGCATTCATCGTGTTCTAGCCCCGATAGCGCTCCGTGGTGACATCCTGTGGCGTCCGATAATTGCCAGACTAAGTAAAGCCCCTCTGAGACTTCCAATGTGCAAAAGAATTCGGGATTGAAGGTAAAGAAAGAATATAGAACTGCATGTTTAGAGAAGCCTGCTTATTTGATCATAGGAAGTCTATTCAGGCCGTTTCTCCGTATTCGCTTATAAATCCATCTCTTCTACGAACTTGAGGCTCTCAAGCTCTGCAATCTTACCCTGAGTAACTTTGTGGCCAGGTGAAGTTCAGCCTTCAGCCACAATGCCCAAATGCGCATAACGAGAATGCGCTGTATCACATCTGCGGCTGGAACTAGCGAAAACCAAAAGCAAGCTATGTTACCATGGGTAGTAAGGCCAGAGGCGAGCCTAGATCTTGTGACTCGGTATTTCTACATTGAACTCAGCACCTGATATCTCAACCACTGCTTTTTGAATGCTGTTTGAAGTCTGAACCGTGTGGTACGAATTACCAATATGGGCTGCTTCGGCGCTGATAACGACACAAATCGGGTAGACGAGGAGACTGCAGTCCGAGGCGTACAGGTTGATTTTAGGGATGATCGCTGGATTATAGACCTTGAGCTCGATAACATTATCAGCAACATATCAGAGATCGAGAGCTGGACAACTTCATTTCGTAGGGCGCTTCAGGGCGCCAATGACAATGGACAACTCTCGAACGGACTAGGTAAAGTATGGAATTAACTTCCTGCATTTCAAGAGAGCGACGTTGACTGAAGGGCCAGAGTTTTCGGATCAACTTTGTTGTCCTCCAGCGAATACAATTGAAGCAACTCCGCACCAAACTCGCCAAGCATGCAGTGTCTCTAAGATTCCAAGCGAATGAGCCTCAGGGGTGGCAGGACACTCTCAAAGACTATAGTAAGATGACTGTTGTTTTGCTTATAAGTCGACCGAAAGCGTGCTGATATTGAATTTTACAGTACAAGCACTCCAAAACTATGAATACATGGAAAAACGAAGTCTGCAACCTGAAGATCCGTTTTACATGAGCGGCGAGAAGTATCAAGATCGCAAACTCCTTGAAGCCATTCTAGGGGATAAAGTCAACAGTTTTGAGGGGCAGCCGGTGTTTCCTGCTATCGGACACTGGCAAAAGGGACCAGAGGAATCGAGATCTGTTCGAGACACAAGACAAGACAACTATAAGCGGAACTGGACAGTAGGTCTTCACCAAAGGCTTGCTGTGGCTGCCGTCGGCGGGATATTTCTCATGGCTCCTATGTGGTTGATGGTCTTGCATAATACTCTCTACACGGCTTTGGTTTCGACGACCGTGTTTGTTACTGTGTTTGGATTGATGGCTGCGAGATATCTTACGAGTTTGATGGATGTTATGTCGAGTACAGCGGCTTATGCTGCTGTATTGGTTGTTTTTGTTGGACTGATCACTGAGCTGCACGATGGCTGAGACGGAGGAAAATACAAGCGTTTATTCAAGAAACAATTCAGACGGCCTTCAGGAACAGGTTTCTCATTTTGTTATTTCTAGTCGGAAAGCTTGGATTTTAAAGAATCTTACAGATTTTATGCCTCAAGTGGATGGGTACGTAGCAAACCATCTAGCACCTTGCCAACAGCCAGAACCTTTTCCTCCTCCAAAACCCGCCCCACGATCTGTATATCCACAGGAAGATGATACTTGACCATCTCTTGCATATTATCCTCCCAAAGGCGGGTATTCCACCCATCCAACTCGTTTCTCGGCTCGTGATCCCACAATGCATCAAGATCCCTGGCTTCAACTTTTCCTCCCGGAATGACCAAAGCCGTATAATCCAAAAGATTCCAGACCTTGGTGTATCCCACCCATTTGACAGTGTTGTGAGGCACAGCTGCATGTGGTAGAGCCGGCATTATAATGGCGTCCACAATTTTCCCCTTTTTGGAGAGGGTATTGTTCCACTTCTCGAGATATGCTTGCTGAAGTTCTCGCTTTCGTTTGTTGAGCTGCCAATAGTCATAAACCGATATAGGCTTTCCCCTGTTCACAAGCCTCTCCACGCTTGGGATAAAAGGCTCGCCTCCAGCCTCGACATCACGACGAATGTCTTCACCTCCATCGACTGTGAAATAGGCATCCATAACCTCTATGCACTCTGCGTGCAAGTCAGGCTTCCACATTACAAGCTCATGGCCATCAGCCGCAAGGGCAGCTGCAGCTTGTGCGAGAACCCTTACAATACTAGGGTGAGGCTTCACAACCCCGTCGTCGTACAATACACCGATTGTCAACTTGCTGTTCACAGTCATGTCATATTCAGACTGTCGCCATGGGATTGGCACGCAACGACAGTCTTGTTTCCAGGGTTCTTGAAGCATGACCCCTTTCGTGAGATGGTAAATGGTCGAAAGGGAGCGTGCCAAGGGACCGATGGAAGACGGGACATGCTCTTGTCCATCGGTTGAGACGGGCACTCCTCCATATGGCAATCTTGAGCTCTACATCGAGTTAGCAATGCTCTGAAAATGGCGAATCAACGTACGCTTGGCTTGAAACCATATAAACCCATCATAGAAGCTGGCATGCGGATGCTACCACCCAAATCTGATCCGAAACCCCCGAGGCTCCCATGAGAGTAAATCAACGCTGACTCCCCACCCGACGATCCTCCAGGCGTATATCCGGGAATGATCGGGTTCTCAGTCAAACCCCAAAGCGGATTGTCGGTTTCAGCCCACTTCTCAAGATTAGTATGAGCTGAAATTATGCCTGTTATCAGTCTTACCATTATGCTCTGTGGGAGATTTGTTTTGCAAATGATGACTGCGCCTAGCTTTTTCAAGATCTTTACTAGGACGGCATCATCGTGGGCTGGCTTGAAGGCTTTGCTTGTGTAACCAAGAGTGGTATCGTAGCATTTGACATTGAACTGGTCTTTCAGGCTTATAGGGATTCCGTGCAAAGGTCCTTTTGTTTTCTTTTCTTTGGCATAATACGCATCGAGCTCTTGGGCCTGCTCCAGAGCATCATCGAAGAGGATTTCGGTCAAGCTAGTAAATCATCAGGCTTTGGTAGTAGCAAGAGACTACAATGAGGCTCACCAGTTTGTCTGTTGGTAATATTAGCTACCTATGTATAGGGTTTACCAAATTGTCTTAGGTTCTACCTTGTTATGCGCCTCAATGGCTCTATCACATGATATGTTAGTATATATCTCTCACGGAATTCAACGATTGACTTTCCGTGTGATATACGCCAGGGTTACGTCTTCACTTCTGAGCTTTCCACTCGAAATATTATCGGCCAAGATAGTAATGTCATCGACTTCGGTGATGGCCTTGTATGCATCCCGACGGTCCTCTTTGTCTGGTAGGTTCTTGGTGACAAAAGCAGAGATGGCACGGGTCCGTTGGCGTCGCTTCTCTGCGATAACTTGTTGCCAGATTTTTGTCTCCATAGCGATCTGAATATCTAGCTATAAGGAAAGCTAGTGAGGTCGCGTATCTAACTGTCAAGGTTTAGAGGCTGTTGCGAAAGTTGGAAGTGGTCGAATAACCCCGCATATACCCGCACCCGTTACCCGCCGTCCGCTGCTTATGAAGATTTTCGGGTGCAACATCCGAATGCAAGTGATGGATGCTTGGCATATAAGTACCTACGCTATATTGATCGGAGCGCCTACTGTCGTGCTCGAGGACTGGATAATATCCCTAGGTTCGAGTTCTTGGCGTCACCCAGATAGAAACCCTCTGTTTCCCATAGAAGCATGATCTGATAATAAAGTTTGCCTTAAAGTCGAGCTGTCATAAGGCATGGGTATCGTGGAACCTCCGATACAACTCGGTACGCGACCACCAGTCAAGGTGATATCAAGTGACTCAATCTGCCTGAATAACTGACCCGTTCAATTATCGCAAGGCTCCTTAGCCTCAGAGTTTTGGCACCGTAAGCTCGGGCTAACTTCAGCTGAAACAACACCTAGAGGTGCTCCTGTCTATGATGTCATTGGCTGGTTTGGCGATGCCGCATATCCGTCGTGTTGCGTATGAGTCTTTGAAGGATTTATTGCGTGCCAAAGGAAGTGTATAAGAAGGCCACGGTTTCTTCATCTAAACATGAGAAAGCATCGCGCTCTTGCAAACAACCCCTTTTTTTTTATCTCTAGTCTACTGCGACCTTTGCAGAAAAACACCGAAATTTATCTGGAAGGGAAAACTTCTTCAAGAATACCGCAGCTTCTACGAATTCTTCGAACACTTACAACTGACTCTGATGGCACCATTGAAAGTGTTGATATGTGGAGGCGGCTGTGCCGGACCAGCCTTGGCCTTCTGGCTCACCCGTCTTGGACATCAAGTAACCATCGTCGAGCGGTTCCCAGCTCTACGCGCAACTGGTGCACAAATCGACTTCCGGGAACAAGGCATTGCGACTCTCAAAGTAATGGGGATTATAGATGAGATACGCGCCAAGCTAGTTGACGAAGCAGGCGTTGCTTTCGTCGATACCAATGGAAAGATCTTGGGAACAGTGCTCGCCAATACATCAGGCAAAGGCGCCCAGTCCATAACCTCTGAGTTTGAAATCATGAGAGGAGATGTTGTAAGAATCCTATACGATGCAACGAAGGAGGATGTTAAGTATATCTTCAACACAACTGTGGAAAGTTTCGAGCAAGATGAGAAGAGTGTACTTGCGCACTTCTCTAATGGGACATCGGATACCTTTGATATCCTCGTCGGAGCAGATGGTCAGGGCTCAAGAGTTCGAAAAGCTATTGGACCAGCGGATGCTCCGGATCCTTACCGAAAACTCGGTATTCACATGGCTTATTATTTCATCCCACGCGAAGAAGGGGACAGTAATATCCGCAGGACATATCAAGCATCACAAGGTCGAATGATATTCCGTCGGACGCACAACTCAACTGAGACTCAAGTTTATCTCATTCTCAAAGACAATTCTCCCGAAGTCTCCAGTATTCATCGAGGTTCTGTTGAGCAGCAGAAAGAGTTCTGGACACAAAGATTTCGCGGTGCAGGATGGCAGACAGACCGATTCCTGGAGGGCATGAAGACAACAGAGAACTTTTACTCCCAAGAAGTTGTCCAGGTTCAGACAGATACTTGGCATAAAGGCCGTGTGATCCTCCTAGGTGACGCAGCTCATTGTCCCTCTCCGTTCAGTGGCATGGGAACTACACTCGGTTTCATCGGTGCCTATGTGCTAGCGGGTGAGATTCAGAAGAACCCAGAGAATTTATCCCTGGCTTTCGAGAACTACGACAAAGTGCTACGACCATTTGTTGACGAGGTTCAGAATATCAAGATTGGGCTTATCCGGCGGGCTATACCTGATACTCAATTAGGTGTTACGATCATTCAGTGGATTGCTTGGTTCGTATGCCTTCTGAGAATTCCTTATCTTATTTCAAGGTTCTCGAGCGAGGAGAAGGCTGGTTGGCCATTGCCAAAGTACCCTGCGCTCAAAGCGGACAATTAAGATTATGGCGTATCTGCAGCCATTTAAGAGGTATTGGGCATTTCATACCTAATATCGAGCAACTCTACTCAGTCACAGCAGGACAACGCTAATAATACTGGAGAAACAGTATGCTTACTACTAAAGATTTTTAATTTTAGTTCTGGCAATTCAATTCCTATTCAATTGACATGATTCCATTTATTGAGGAACCTCAACGTCCTTGCTAGTATCAAGCTCCTCAAATCTTCTCAAGTCCATAGGCTTCTCCAGCAGGGGAATGACGTAAGGGTCGAAAGTCTTCCAGTATGGGTTCTCAAGATGATACTTCTGGCTCTGCAACACAATCAGCACATAATCCTACATTCAATCGATAAGTTACTTACGGTCTCTTGCTCATAACGCTCAACAATGGTGAAAGCCCGTCGGTCAGCGGTGGATTGCATGACGTGCCATGAGAGGGTCTCCTTGTCCTTGGAGTAGACGCGGCTAGCCTCGATGAGCTTGGCGGTGAGCTTCTTGAGCGACTCCTCGTCGTCTTTGGCGTAGAGGTGGACAACGATTGTGTAGACCATTTTGGCTGATTTGATGTGGATGTGTATGGGGATATGGCTCGTGAGTGTTGAGGAGGGGTTGCTGAGCGTATTGGTTTTATGGTTTCTGCTAGGAAGTGGGGATCATGTGATCTCCCCACTGATCGACTGATGCCAAACGAGATGCGCGATTACCGCCCTCGAAGTGTTTTGAAGGATGAATTGTTTAGTCTGAAAAGAGTACCCAAGACTTGAAGTGGTAGTGTAATAGGTTTCTACAGTAGCCTCAACGGTATGTTGTCAAGTGTTCTAGGGTAAGCAGTTGAATTGGGACATCAGTACAGCAATAAAGACAGCATTAAGGGCCATCGCGATTATAATAAAATTCTCATAGATAGATACCTAGAATCTAGTAAGATGAGAACAAAAATTATTAGACTTTATGGTTTCTATAAAATATAGAAAGCTGTTGTTTCCTTCGTTCTGTAACTGGTTGATTAACAGAAAGGTAACAGTACCTTATAGTGAAAAGCTCGGAGAAAATCGACACCATATAAAGCCAAGCTTAAAGAGTTCCTGTGAGGTTTATGCATATCCTCACTTTAACCCATAGAGTTTAAGTGGTACGCCTGGCATCTCATCTTTCAATCTCAAATATCTTACCGTAGAAACACTAGTCAGTGCTTTGATGTTTTGAAAATTCACCAACTCCTTGGGTTCACGCCACCAAACAATGTCGTCATCACATCTTTCCTAGAGCAGAAAAACACAAGCTGATTTGCGCCCAAAGATTCTCTGGAACCCGTATGGAAGCTTTTCACTAACCTAGTGCGTGCATTGCACCCATCCCTGTCCCCTCCGATGGTCGCCCGCCAAGGAAGATCTTTCAAGGATCCACCAGTGCCGCCTCACCGAGACCGTGCATGACTTGATCCACTGGGAGCCTCACGGCACTTATCTATCAGTGGGTCAAGGGATCATTCCGCCCTGGATCGGAATTTGATAAGAACAAACAGTGGTTCTTGTTTGCAGGATGCAACCGTTCCTCAGACGTTTTTTCTGGAATTCTGACATTTCATCATTTTAAGTTTACCAAGAGAATGGATGGCTTTCTCCGGGTCTCTTCTCCAAGTTTTGAATGTGACGTGTAACGGTGTAGAATGTAACTCGGCCGAGTTGTTGGTTGGTTGATGAGGAGAAAAAGAAAGGGTCCTCATTTCACTGCAGTAACACACGCGAGCTGAAAAAACAAACCTTGCATCGAATGATAGAAACTTGGAATCGCCTCACTAAGACTCAGGGATCGGAAGCTCAACACACGATCCTCGTCCATATGCTGATGAATAGGAAGTCTTGGCGATAGGAGGACTCTCCTATCCTCGTCCCCCCCAGAGCCTCATGACAGAGGGATCTAATCATCATGGGAACAACATCTCGGCACGCGAGTCAGGCCAAGGCTCGGAGTCTTGCAACCTACCGAGTGAGAACTCTTCAGATTGATGTGACGCAAGGCATCATTTATACGCTGTAGAGCTGTGAATGATCCACTGTGCTATCACCACGGGAATATGCCTAGCAAGGTATGAAAATTTTAATATCTGGATCGTGTTTTGATAAGTTAGTTATAGGAGAGGATCTGCCTTAACACCGAGTTATCTCGACTCGACGTCATATGTTCTCGGACCGAGACCCACACCGAGCGGACCGGTGCTTCCGGACACTCCGCCGTCTTAATTGGAATCTCACCTTAAGCCCGAAAAGGCACCGCCCTATCGAGAATATGAAAATGGCCACCGAGTTAACCATCGACAAGTCTCAATGTCAAGCCTTCAATTAGAATTCCAGAAGAAAAAGAATTGTTCTAGTGTATCTTGCCCCTGGAACTAGTGTAGTGCAATACATCATCTATTGTTCATAACAACAAACATGAGTCGTGATGGGAAACCCACAGAGTCTCGGCGGCTTCGTGGTGGTATAGTGGACCAACACCACGACTCCACACCTCGCAACGACCAAACATGCGCGGAAGTAGACAACGTGCGATGATAAGACAAGTGGGAAGACGAGACAATCGATGTCATCATACTGGGCCAGACGAAATGATGCCCCAAAACTCTTTTATATCTCTTATCTCTCTCTTCCCCTGAGTCAACCTTCCCTCTTACCGCACGCTCTCTTCTTATCACACCCAACCCATCATGTCTAATTATATCCCGTCTTTCTCTGCGCCTAACTCAAGGCCTGGGTCCCCTCTGCCTCTGGGGTCACCGTCTGCTTCAAGACCTACGAGCTTCTATGCCAATTCCAGAGCGAATTCGTTCGTGGGCACGAGACGAAACTCTGCTGTTCCTCCGGCCTCGAGAAAGAACTCTGTTGCTGCTCCTTCGAGGAAGAATTCTACTGCGCCCCCTTCAAGAAGACACAGTGAGGATAAGGGTGCTTCGGATCCCGAGTCTACAGACCTTGAGGTTCTGAAGAATGAGAAGGGCGAACCCCTTGCTGGGCGTATTGTTGGTGGTAAATATGTCGATCCAAGCAATGAGTCCGTCGACCCGGAATTTGGGGCTATCAAGACTGTTGATATCGATATGCCTCTTACGTTGACGGAACTTGTGAACGAGAAGGGCAAGGAATACATCGTGCTTGGTTTCGCGACTGGCGATAAAGAAAACCCTTTTAACTGGAATCCTTGGTACAAGCGATCTATATCAACTATTCTCAACCTGATGACCTTGTTCATCGGTCTTGCTACAACTGCCTACAGCTCAGGTATTGCCAGCATGTGTAAGGACCTCGATGCCCCTAACATCAAGGGTCAATTGGGTCTTTTCACCTTCAACATCAGCTGTGCTGTTGCACCCATGGTTCTAGCCCCCTTCTGTGAATTGGTCGGGCGCAAGGTTGTCTACGCCGGTTCCTTCCTGTGCTTCTCTCTCCTCTTCATCGGTCTCGCTCTCGCCAAGGACATCGACACCATCATTGGCCTTCGACTCCTCCTCGGTCTCTTCGGCTGCGTCGGTACCATTCTTGTCGGCGGTACTTTCGACGACATGTACGAGCCTCACCACCGAAGTCGACCTATGGCCATGTTCAGTTGGGTCGCTATCTTCGGAACCGTTGCTGCTCCCATCTACGCTGGTTTCATTGACCAGGCTATTGGATGGCGATGGATTGAGGGTATTCAGGGCATTGCCAATGTTCCTCTGCTACTCGTTATCTTCTTCTACTTCCCTGAGACCCGTGGTGGTGTCGCTCTCCATAAGCGGGCTAAAGCTCTCCGACAAGCTACTGGTGATGAGCGCTACGTCTCGGCTGGTGATATCCTGACTCCAAGTCTTCAGGCCATGCTTAAGGCCAGTTCCGTCAAGGCTATTCACATGTTGGTCACTGAGCCTGTCGTCTTCGCCTTCGGTCTCTGGATCGCCTTCTGCTGGGCTGTTGTCTTCCTCTTCCTCTCGGTTATCCCCATCACGTTCCAGGAGCACCACGGTTGGGGCGAGGGTGTCAGTGGCCTTCCCTACATCTCTCTCTGCATTGGTACTACCCTTGGCTGGTTGGCTCATCACCTCCAGATGCGCAAGTTTGACCGTCTTGTCGCCGACCCCAACGTCAAGGTCACCCCCGAAGCCCGTCTCTACGGCGCCATGTACGGAGCTGTCTTCCTCCCCATTGGTCTCTTCATCTACAGCTTTACCCAATACTCTCATGTCTCTTGGGTTGGTCCCGCAATTGGTCTTGCCCCCATTGCCTTTGGTATCTATTTCGTTTTTGAAAGTACCTACAGTTACACCGCTGATTGTTATGGTGAGAGCTCTTCTTCTGCCATTGCTGGTCAGGGTCTTATGCGAAACACTCTTGGCGCTGTTACGCCTTTGTTCGCCAATGCTTTCTTCCACAACGTCGGAAGTCAGTATGCTGGTCTCATCCTCGCCTTGTTTGGTACTGTACTGAGCTTGATCCCTTTCGTCATGTTTAAGTATGGATATAAGCTCCGAGCTCGCAGCAAGCTGGCTATTGAGATGTAATTCTGCATGTATAATAGAGAATCCGTCTATGATCTGGAATGAAATAAGAAATAGACCGTATTAAAGTTTCGAATGTTTATAAATAAGACTGAATGTATAAGCCCCATAATTGCCTAAAGATAAGTAAATAGAGAATTGGAAAACTTTATTGTGACGATAAGAGATCTAAGTAGGTAGTGATTGTGTAGAAAGAGTTTAGAAAACGGTGCAATATATTTAGGTTCTCTTCTTCAAAATGTGAGTATATAATTCTATTTGCAATTGCCATCTCCAACAAACACCAGAGGCATCGCCTCAAATCACCAGCGACCGTGGTGTAGTGGTTAGCATTAACGCCTTCCAAGCGTTAGAGAGGGGTTCGATTCCCCTCGGTCGCATTTTTGGTTCTCATGTGTCCTATCCCTGTAAGGTATACTACCCCCGTAGTGATAGTGCCGTGTTAGTCCAACACCAGACTTCCGTT